AGGTGTGCACCGCCGCCTCGCCTCGCCTCGCCTCAGCGGCAGGTAGCGCTCCCGGGGGTCTTCGATAGCCAGCCCCGCCTCGGGGCCGTCGGTGACAAAGGCATGAATTCGGCGGCTCTCAAAACCTCTTACAGATTTTTGCACTCCCCGGTGTGAGGTCTCTGCCTGCCTCCACACCGCGGACGGCTCAGAGCTTGCTTGCCGCGTCGTCGTCACCGTACAAAGGAGTAGAAAACCCTTGAGAATGGAAGCTGTAGCTTATTGTCGCACCGCCGTGCCCCGGCAGGAGCGGGGTCTCATCACCGCTGTCTGGATATCGTGTACGGTATGCAGGACGGCATGGATTAAGGCAAGGCGGGTATAGGAGCACAGACTGGATTTAAAGGCTGGGAAAGGATAGGTGCTAGGTTTGGGAATGAATGGCAGGGAAATCACACGAGTTTGCTGAAGATTGGGACTACCATATTAAGGAAAATGTAAGGGCCAAGTCTTTCCAGTCTGTGTCGGGGGGCTGTTAAGGATTTTGGGACAAGGATGGCCAGAAGAAAACAGATCACAAGGGCAGCCTGAGAGAGCTAGAAATAAGAAAAAGATTGGAGAAAAGCTGGAGAAATAAGAAAAGATTGGAGAAAAGCTGAGATGAAAGTAAACTGGGATCAGATGTTTGAGGAGCCGGGACTGGAACAAATTAGGCAAAAAGAATAGTTTTGGAACAAAAAGTTGGGGATAGCATAGAGACTAGACCATGGTGGGCTGGGAGGAATGGGAGAGAGACAGTATTAAGGAGGGAGGCAGACAAGGAGGGAACTGTTTTACTGAGGGCACATTAACCTGAAAGGAGGCTGCCTTTTTTGAAGGCATTATTCTCCATTGTCGTCACTTTGTGTCACCGAGAGTCCTTGCTGCCACCACACCTTGTAAGACATGAAGGTGTTATTCCAGTTTCACAAATCTTAAGCTGAAGTGCAGAAATCCATGCAAAATTGTGCCCCACTGCTGAACACCAGCGTGAGATACTTAGGACCTTACATAGCATCTCAGATGGTGAAAGCATACCTCCCACTGATCACATTTGTAGCTTTGATTGTTCAGCACTTGGAAGGTGATATTACAAGGTATTAAATTTAGCATGCAACATATGACAAACATTACCAGCAGCCATCTATTAAAAGCACAATTTGCCTACTGTGATGCAAGAACCACCAGCAGACACACAGGTGTGAAATCAAGTTTATCGGTGGAGCGATCGGGTTCTGAATAAAACCTTCTCTTCCTGCAACACATTGGTTTTCTAACATCTGCAATAACTAACACATAGCGCAGACGCGGTTCTTCCCCTTGTTTCATATCTGTCCATCTGTGTAGTCTACCTTTTGGTATTTCCTGGTTCTTGAGTGCTTAACTTTGTAGCTAATAACACTAATACATTTTAATGCAAAACTAATCATCATCTCTCAAAGACAATACTTAGTTACATTAATTTTTATTAGCTTACATGAGCCTTGTTACCTTAAACAAGGTTGGTTTTTTTTTAATCTTCAAAGCATTGTGGAAAAACATAATCTCATTGCAGGTAGGAGCACACAGAGGTAGCGTAGCCTCGCTGTAAGGAGGGCAACTGTGGCAAGACCAGACAAAAGATCTCTGCAGGTGAGAACGTCTGCCTGGCAGCTTCCCTGCAGAGCAGAAAGGGAAGTAAGTGGACTAAGCAGAGAGAGAGAGAGAGGAAATCCAAACTAGGCTTGGTGATGACTTATAAAGGTTTTGAGGTTAGTGAAAAGGAACTAGCGCGTAGTTTTGATATCTAGGTGAATACTAGCAATGTGGTTACTGTACCCAGCTAGGTTTTTTTATTATTATTTTGTTGTAAGTAGGTTTTGAACTCTTGCAGATAAAATCTGTGGTTATAGTGAGCTTATCCAGAAACTAGCAGCTGGTATTGTAACTTCAAAGAGATTTTTTGAGAGTTGCATCAGCTTCATTGCACAAGACTTTGGTAAGGGGAAGTACAGGATAAGACTTGTAAATAATGAATTACTCGTAACAGCTGCAGTGACAGCAAACTGTGCTTTATTGTGAGCGGGACACTGCCCTGGCAGCGGGGATGTAACTGCCACTTCCAAGCTCCCTTCCCAACCAGTGAGGAAGACTGGACAACAGCCCGCTCAGAAAGGCAGGTGTAGGCTTTGTATGTAAGGACAGTAGGGAAACATTATTTCTACATTCCGTCCCAGAAAGTCAGCTGCATCTCAGTAAATAAGTGGCCTATTTTAGTGCCTGTCATTCAGAAAGATGCTAAAACGTGCTCAGCTGCAAGGGTGAGATGATTTCTTACACACGGGTTAGAAACCGTTGCAGTAACCTTTCCTGGGCAGGTGTAATCTGCCTTAAGATGACTATATGACCACTGTAGCATTCAAACCAAGTGCTGAAAGAAATGCCTCAGAAGAAGTATCATATTTGTGAATAAGGACTTTTATGGCTAAGAGGAGCTACTGGCCAAAAAATCGGATTTAAACTGACAAAAGGATATGTTCACATACACTGCTTGGGGAAGAGGGAAAAGCTGTGTCATCTACGGGGCAATTAGATACCTATCACTTCATCTTTCTTTCTGGATTAAAAAAAGAACCGGTAACACCGGAGCGGCCTTAACTCAAGGAGAATATTTGGATTTCTTAATGCTGCAGAAGATGGATGTTCCAGGTACAGCAATCACCTGAAAAGGTCATGAAAAGGACAGAAATTAAAAGGCAAGCTACTGGGGAGAGAGAAACAGAACAAAAGTAGGGAAAAAACAGCCAATCTAGGACTATTACTGTGAAGTAAGGAAGAGATGGATACTCCCAGTGCAGTGCAGGTTGGAATCGGGCATGCTTACGTGGAGCTAGGGATGGTCAGGCCAGATGCAGAAGGCCTCAGGGACTCTATTTTGTCCATAATGTGAGCTGCTCTGAAAAGTGGAAAGCTTTTTCCTTGTTCCTGAGAGGATTCAAAGCAAGCAAGCACAGCCTTTCAGTTGGAATAACTGTTCAGTTTATAAAAGAAAAACCCACCTTCTTCATGTGGCTGGTCATCATGTCCTGTGGTGGGTTGAGACAGCTGGCTGAATCAGTAATGGCCATCTGATAGACTAAAATGACCATATATTTCTTTTGCTTCATTCAAGTTAACAAGAACTAGGTCTGTGTGCCAGAATCGGGGAGATGGATAGACCGCCTCAACTTGGGCGTGCGTGGGTTTGCTCGTTTCTCCTCAGGCTTGTTCACTTATCTAGAGAATGCTTAATGGGTGGGCAGATGCCTTTTACACCGTGTGTTGGATATGAATGTTGAGTCCTCTAATGGGATGTGAACTGATGCGTTTAAGCATTGAACGTTCAGGAACAAACAGTTACAGCCTCTTTCTAAGGAGGGTATGATCTCAAAATGATTTCTGGCCTGCACCGATTAGAACCAGGGATCTGGAAGCTGAAATGAGTAGTGCAGCAATTTGTAACGTAGAGCTCCGATTTCTGTAGAAGCAAATTCATTAGCTCAGATTGGTAGTGTCATTTTAACTCCTGATTTAACAATGGACGTGATTTAAATGTGGGTATTTAAAGGTTACTGTGTCTGTGTTACGTGAGATCATTCTGTTGTGCTCTGCTAAGGCTTCTCATTCCCTAGGGAACTGAGCGAACAATATAGAAGTGAAGACAGCAAAGCGGTAGGGCACGCAGTCCTGACTGCTATGCAGAGTAGGGTGATTCAGGAGTGTGTAACTCACCTGCGATGAGTAAAGATGACTACTGCAGGCAGGAAGGGTGGGATCCCTTTCACATGCCGCCCCCCAGCCCAGGCACTGGAAAAAATTAAGTACTGAAGTGCTGCAGGTAGAACGTGGTCCTGTTTCCCAGCTACATCAGCTCCCTTTAACGGCAACAGTCCGCCTAGTGCCTTAAGTCTTCTTATAAAGGCCTCTTACAAATTCTGTTTAGGGAAGCGGCTTTTTTTCAGGCTTGCCTTCACAGTACCCCAGGTGTCTCTCAAGAATTTCTTCTGTAAGGTAACTAGAGAAACAGGAATTACTAAAGCGCATCAGACCACGACCCGCATAGCCTACAGCCGTGTCGGTGGTTGTAACTAGTACTGAGTGCTAAAGCAGAAAGAAACCCTGCAAGTTAGTTTGTATTACGGTACATTCCCAAAAAACATTTCTTCTCGCCTCTTAAGACACGCACGTGACTTTAATTGTGCATCAGCCATGCTTCCGTACCTTCAGAAACAAAATGAAACTAATTTATAGTGTTTAACAGAATGTTCGTGTTGTTAGCCGTGTGCTACAACACTCAGGTTTTAATGCCTCACTTTTTTAGACGTTGTCTCGTTACTTGATTAAGAAGCTGAAAAAGTTTCTAGTCTGCCATCGATCATGACTTTCTGTACTTCTATCTGGTGTTTAAGGTGAACAGTTACAGTGTTTTCACATAAGCCTTTTTTTCTGGCCCCTAGCAATTCTCATATGATGTGGGGCTTGAAATCTGGTCGCAGCTTTCCAGCTGCCAGTGTACAAGAGGTCTGTCATTTTCAGTATTACTATTATTTGTCTCTCATTTTTACGCACCATTGTTTTCTGTTGTCCTCCTCCCCTCAAAAAACAGATATAACTGATTAAGGGTGTTAGCGAACTGTGCATAAAAACATCTGTGTCTCTGCAAGGACAGAGTAGTTAATTTAAAGCCTAGTAATCTGTATGAATAACTCGTAGTATTCACTCTAAACGTGTATCGCTTTGCAGTCAAAACCACAGTCTTGACAATTTTGGGTTTGTCTTACCACCCATTCATGAAATACAGCTAAATTTTCTGAAATGCCATAGCCTAGCCTGGAAGAACCTAGATGCGCCACCTACACGCTTTGCTACTTCCCTTTTTTAGTAAATATTTACACACACCACAGATGGAAATATGAATCCCTTAAAAAATCTTAATAAAATCTTAATAATATCCTGTTGTTACCAGAAAGAAGAAAAAAACAAAACCAGCGTTTTTAATAATGTGTTATTAGCACAAGGGAAGAAATTAGATTAGGCTGACGCTCTTTTTAAAACGCCTTTTTTTAGTGTGGCTGAGTTACCAGTTGCCCAGGAAATAAGCAGACAAACCTCTCGACTTTCCCTTTTTCATGTTTTAACGTGGCATACTTCCACAGTATGTAGCAGGAGGAAGTGAGCTTATTCTGTCTTCTGCATGGGCCAAAAGCCATGCAGTCACATGAGCAAAAAGTTGCACCCAAGCTAACAGGACGGCAGAGAGGTGTTTTCATGGGAATACTCGTGAATCCCTGCTCGTTTTAGTCTTAAGCTCACTAATGCAGTCACACTGTGAATGAATTCCAGACAAGATATATATCCTGCGTATCAATCAGGTGTGTTAACTCGGTCTCAGGGCTAGGGATCTGCGTTATCATTGTCCCATGGTTTCTGATTGACTTAAGAACAGGCGGAGCAAAGCGCTCTTGCTCAGAGCTGTAGGGAGTGTACCAGGTTGGTGCACTCCTGAGCTTGTGAGGTGTTTTGGAACTGAGCTGGAACGGTAGTACAGTGGAAAACCTACAGAATATCATCCTTATGTTTTCACGCTTTAATTGCTACTGGTACAGTGCAGCAACGTTGCCAGTAGTAAGAGGCAAAGCTCTGCGTTACCTCGCTGCATCTCAGTCTTTGCCACCAAGGAGGAAACCCATGAAGCAGAATCTCTGTGGGATAAATTTTGTATATGGTAGAAGACTTTTCTCTGAACTGCCTTTAGAATATATTGTCCTTGAATTAATATTATATTTAAGCAATGTTCTTAAAATTATTCCCCAATTTAAAATATAAATTATTACCTTTTTCAGGAAATCCAGTAGAGGAGACTTCGTATTTTCTGCTGATCGTCTGGTAGGTGAAGAATTTCTTCTTCTTGGTATTGTACTTTGTAACTCTTCCATAAAAAGGGTCTGTCAGGCTAGACTAACGGTGGTGTGAGGCAACTTTTCTACACAAAGGAAATTGCTGTTTGACAGCAACTTTCTGTAGAGGGACTTCTGTTCTCTGTTACGGACTGCTTTCATCTCAAAGGGTTCTAGAAACCATGTTATTATCAAACACAACTACTTCAGGACAGAGAGCAGTAGTAATAAGAGAATACTGTTTAAAAGCAGATGCACAGAGGCTAGAGATAATTCAATTTTACTTTGAAACAGTACTTTTGATCTTGCAAACAGAGCTGTACCATTCCTTACAGTCTAGATGTTAACAATTGCTTGCATGCAGAAGTGCCTCCTGGCACTTGTTGTGTATTAGATTAGTAGCTCTGGGTGCATCCACACGGGGAATTTGTTTTTAGCCATATGGTAGTTATTAGCAGGGACAAAGCAATTTGAAGTTTTCACACATTTTAGTAAGTCAGAACAAAGACTGTTGGGAATGCAACATTTATCTCATTTAAATTACATGCTTAAAGAAAACCACAACACTCATGCCCACGCATATACTTCCTTGTATTCATGAGGGTGTTTACTGTTTGCAAATCACATTCATTAACAAGGAAAGTCTTTCTTCCCCCCTCTAGCAAAGATGAGTCCAGAGACCATTCAATTACCAGCACCGTTTGCTACAGCAGGCAGGTTTCCTGTGATAAGCCCAGTCTTAATCTGTGCCTGATCCAGGCTTGCTCAGGGCTTAGATATGACCACAACCTAAGATTGTGACTGCAGTGCTTTTTATCTTTGCAGCTTTTCCACCTTCCCCCCTGCTTTTCCCTTCTTGAGGATGTTTCTTGCATTCCCATTCACGAAGACCAGTAAAGGCCCAAGCCAACAAATCCCATCACTCGTAACTCATAGATCAAGCGACTGACTGGAGTGCCTTTTTTGCCAATAGTACTTCATAATTGACAGGCAGAAAGTCGCAGCCCCACCTTTGTTCTGTGCCAGCAGTTCTCAGCAGGTACCACTTAAATAGACACATGTCCTTCACAGGTCATTGGATGAGTAGGAACAGCCCAGGAAACATCCACCACCTGTGAAAGACTAGCTCAACTAGGTGGTGTTCTGCCTGGGTTTTGTGGTTTCAGGTTCTTCACGTGCTTAAATGTGCAAATAAGATTCAGGAAGCCAACAAAGGCCAACACCAGCAATCCCCCACATTTACGGGGTATAGGTCTCCAGTGCAGGGGTCAGGCCCCTTCCCCACCAGTACTCCTTTCACAGGGAGGGTTTCTGGTTAACATTCGTTTTACCTTGTATTAGGTTCCCATCATGCTAGGAGCATTCATTCCTGCCAACTTCTTTGAATTAAAGAGAAGCACTGTGTTCCTAATTTGTATTTAAAAAAAAAGAGATAAACAATGGCTATTCTAATACTGACAGGAAAACCCTTAACAGTCTTGACTGTACCTTATTGTCATTAATTAGCGCAAAGGACCTCTCCCACATACCTTCTCATTTTATTTGGAGGCCGTGTGCCATTCTGAGGGAAGCACTGATTTTTTTTTCCCCTTCATTGCTAGAAACTGCAGCTTCCAGGCAGTGAGTTAAGTTCAGGCTCTCGTACCAGCATCTTCTACGGGCTGGCCAGCACTTGTATAGATAGGGAGCTGCTCTTCACAGAAACACCTCTGTTCGCTGGTCATGCAGATGTTTGCCACAGAACCTGCTAGTCTGTTTTCCATTTTGTAGCAGGAATTTTATGCAAAACAGTATGTAGGACTATCTCATTTTCTGTATGCTATTCCTAGGTGTGGCGAAGAACAGTTACAATTTCACGTGGGACGTGGTCTCTACTAAACTTGGTGGGGTGCAAACATAGTTAAGACTTGCTATGTTTTTCCGCCCAGTTAGCAAACAGAGCTTAATGACAAGATGCAATACATGAAGAGAAGAAACATATGCGTATGGGTTAACAAAATACATCTTGTTGCACAGAGCAAATGAGAATGAAGTTAAGCTTGCTACTAGCTTGGCAGTTGTTAGTGGCAGTATCTCATAAGGTCACCACAGGAAGAGGTCTTGAGGAGGGATTCCAAAGCTGATGAATTTCTGGTGGTACAGTTTTTTCTTCTGGCAGTTTGTTTCACACGTGAGGGGATGACACAAAAGAAATGTTCAAAGATACTTGTGAGAGAACGGAGTTAACAGGAGGTAAAGGTTAGCAGGGAGTTTCTGAAAGCCACTGCCAGTGCTGTGATCCTGAAGCTGAAAGATGTGGGGTTAGTCATGGGGATGAAGACAACCCATCTTGTCTTTGTGAAGGAGGAGAGGCAGCTGTGAGAAGTAAGCCTCTAACACAGGAGACAATCAATCATTATGACTTGCGGTAGTAGATCTCTGGACAGGTAGCGGTAGTGAGACCAATTTAAGAAACACGGGCAGACAACTCCTCAGTGCAAGAGGCTTACGCTGAACCCTTGAACGTGTGCTGCCCAGCACCCACGCACTGTGGAAGCATTCAACTGATGTCACCCTGCAGGATTGCTGTAGAACTAGTGAGATGCTCACAAAGCCCGCAGCATTTTTACTGAGACCACCTGAGAAGTTTTTTCCAAGGCCTGCTCTGTAGGAGGTACACAGTAAGCTAGGTCCAGCCCTGTGAAGTTAAGCTGGTGCTGCACACAGCTGAGCGCTGTGTTGTTGTGGGCTGAGAGACCAGGTGAGTAACGGGAAGAGGAGCCATCTCCCAGAGGCATAGAGGGCATTGCATGTCTAGAGTTTTGGCAAGGACCAAGCAAAATTGACTTGCAGCCTGGATTCAGGCAGGCGTTTGTCGTTTACCCAGCACTGACCTACAGCCTCCGTTCCCAAGTGCAGTGGTGCTTTTCAGCAGAAGGTAGCTTTTGCGGTTTGACTGGAGGTCTGAGGTCGAGGAATTAATTAGTTTCTCAGCCCTGTCAGCAACTCCCTGCGTAACACTGAACAGGTCACTTCACCTTTCTGCCCCACTTTCTCTCGGGGTGTGTGTGTGATAATGCATACTTTAAAAGTGGTTTGAAATTCTGAGGTGCAAAGAGCTGTATAGATACAAAGTATGGCTGACAGCCCCACTATTCTGCCTTCCCTTCAGCTTCCAAGAAAAGCTACAACATAATGGGTTAGAGGGATCCCCCTAGGAATTACTATGACCTTGGAAATTAGGTGATGCATGGCTGTCACATAAAGTACAGTTAAACTACTGTCTTCCCACAAACAGGGGAAGATAATAATGGTCACTCCAGAATTTATTTAAATTCTGGTTTCTTGGCATTTAAATGCTTCACCTTTTTCCAAATTGCAGGCAGGCAGAAGAGCTGTAACATGCAGCTGCTGAGGATCACAGATAACCTTTTGGGGTGGCTCTAAAAGGGCTCCCATTTTTCCAGTTCTGTCTGGTCAGAGCAGCACCACCTCTGACTTGCACCCTGGCTGGTTTCCTTATTTAGTGATTACACCTCTTCTAAATGAGAGTGCTGTCAGTCTGCTTTCTATAGTTGCCTATATCCAAATTTCTCTGTTCATGGACACTGAGGAACTGGTCAAACCTGATTTCTTCAGTGGTGTTTGAGTGTGGTAAGGAGACTTTATTCATGTGCTTAATTGGCTGAGAAAAGGTAGATTTCACTAACATTTTCATAGCCTTGAAATGTTTATGTGCTAGTTAGGTAAAACTCCTTGGACCTCTATTAACTTGTTGGTTTTGCTAACAGTTCTAGCAGATCTTGTACTAATAAAGGTTCAAAGCTAACAGTATTTCCCTTTACTTACTGCAAGGGCTCTGGGGTAAATCTTAAACGTAGAACTGTAATAATAATGAGCACATTGACATATAATTTTGTATATCAGCATTAAATGCTTAATCTAAAATTTCAGCATAACTCTGTAAGCCTTGACAGTTTAACTAGGCCTGCTGGAATTTAACATCCTGTTTAGCTTTTTTTTCCCCAATTAAAAATAGACTTTATTTTTGTTACTGATAACTTCAATCATGGTTTTAATTTCTGGTCAAACTCCTCTACCTTGGGACCAAAGCTTTACTTCCCTGCTTCACGTGGGGCCGTAGTAATACCTGTTTTAGCTTCCAAGCAATGGCAGCCACCTCTCTAGGAGAGGAGCAGGCCTCCTGGTTCTCAGGGCCAGAGAGAAAAGAGGTGGAAATTATAATCCCTGAGCGTGGGGGCGGCAGAAAGCGTAGTGCAAAAATAAATGTTTTATCAACACTGACAAGTTTACAGAAGAATCCTTCTCCGCCTCTGTATAGAACATTGATGCATGTGGTAAAACAAAGGAGATTATTTGACTATAGACCTTGACTGGTTTACTCTCAACTTTTGGCAGATAATGTGGAGCGATGCTAACCCTGTCAGCATGACAGCAGTATGAAAAAAAGTGTTTCTTCCAAACCTGGCTCATAGGTTGGCTTTTTCTGGTGAAATAACTTTTAAAAAAATAAAGTAAAATTGTGTAACAGGTGTCCCAGAAACCTGCAGTTAAATCAAGGATTTCATGGCTTGTTTATGTGAGAAGACGTGTCTTTCAGTAGAAGAACACTGGTGCCTTCAGTCTCAGGATTAAAGTGACTGAGTCAAAAGCCCTACTTGCAGAGAGCCAGGAGGATGAAGAGGAGGAGGAGGAAGGTAGTACAGCTGGCTTCTCTACATATGCTTCCTGGAGCTACCAAACATGCAAGGAGTCAAGCGCAAAGGGGACTGACAATTCAGAAGGACCTGTTTCCCATACGCAGTTCTGCTACAGGGGAAATTTTACCCTGAGAATTGCTTTTTCAGGCTTTTGCTCCCGTTATATGTCACTTGCACCCTTTGACCCCTTCGCTGGTTTAGTCTGACCACCACCTCTGAATACGGCTCAACTCTACGAAAAAATTGTCATACTAAAATGACTAAAAATATCTTCAAAGAGGGATTGTACATTTAAGGGACCATTTTTAATTCCTAGTAGAGGCTGCCTGTGTGCTAGGAACTAGGGCAGAATGGAAGAACAGGAAAAAAATCTCCCAATCTGCTCTGCCCTGTTTCTGGAATAAGAAGCGTCTGAAGTGAGCAGTATACAGTCCCGGGAGCAATCGCCTAATTTCTGCCGTCATACGGTGACTTTTGCTTAACGGGTTTCATCTTTGGCTTGGCAGCAGCTTTCCTTGAGCAGTTCTGGCCTGTGAATCTTTGGCTCACTAGCAGAGGGAATTTTTACATCTTTAATACCCAAAGCACCTTTCACGGGCGATCATGCAGAGTTCAGATGAATACGTTTCGGTAACGTTGCCTGGGGTACAGCTGCAGGGCCAGCACCGGGGGGGAGAGCTGGAGGTTTTTTGGCCACTCGAGGCTGGAGGGGTGTGTGGC